GAGTACCTCGACTATCAGATACCCGTTACTCAGCTAAATAGAGATATGCAAGTAGCAAAGCGAGATTAAAATGCGCCACCTACCGGCGGTATACAGATTTAAGCGTTATGGGCGTTAGAGTGGGCGTGGCAAAATTTGTTATCTAGCATAAAAACTGTGGGCGTCACAGGTTTTAGCGGTTTGTGGGCGTTAGAGTGGGCGTGGCATATTCGCGTAACAAACTTGCGCTGCGTATAAGGCTGCGGAATCTAAATCTAAAATCCCAATTCTCTATCTTTGATAGTTTCCGAGATATCCACGTTCATATTTACGATTTTTTGAAGTTTGTGGGCGGGTTATGGGCGTTAGAGTGGGCGTGGCACTCTACTGAAACAAACTTGCGCTGCGAAAGAAGCGCAGTGCAGGAATCTGCACGCCAAGTCTCAATAGCCTAGCTCCCATAGTTTCCGAGATCTCAGCGTTCATCCGGACAGACAGACGGACATGGCTCGATCGACTCGGCTAGTGATCCTGATCAAGAATATATATATTTTATGGGGTCGGAAACGCTTCCTTCTGCCTGTTACATACTTTCCGACGAATCTAGTATACCCTTTTACTCTACGAGTAACGGGTATAAAAATAGTTGACAACAAAAAACGTTATTACCAGGTCCCAACACCTCTATCATAAACTTGAATCAGAAATTAAATTGAAAGACGCTCCTATGCTAGCTAATGATGCTTTCGAAATATGTTACAATATTATTATGGGATGGAACAAATGAATGCTTTAAAATTAATTCATCGTCTGAGAAAGATTACATTGTGAGAACTATTTAACACCTATCTATGGGAACCAAGCGAAAATCTGCGTTTGGAACGAAGATTAATAACCGACATGTTTCTTACAGAGGGATGGAGTAAGAAAATTAATTATATACAAATATACATAAAATATAATTAATAATGAATTTAATGAAATATGTTTACAATAATAAAATATATAAAAAAATATTAAATGATCCTACAAATTTTGTATCTGACTGTAATTAAAACTCCAGGTACAAATGAAGGGGAAGTATTTTATTCAATGTCCTTGGGTCTTGGGCATGTGACTTGGATGACGGTCAGGTAATGATAGTTCACTGCAAGTGTGTTTGGCTAACACATCTTAGAAACTTTAACTTGCTTACTTTGATAGTTCTTAATAAGAGACTATAGCGACTCATAATACTTGTTAACATTTAGTTACCATCTAAAACCAAGTACTTTACAGATACTATACAGATAGTAACCATCCAAAATCAAGTACTGTACAGGTACTATACAAAAAGTATCCATCCAAAAACAAGACTAAAAAGAAAGTAACCATCAAAATACTGCTAGGTAACAACTAAATACAACGAGTCCAACGTGTCAAGTCTATGTCGGTATGACTACTACCCTAAAAAATTGTATATCTCTGGATAATCTTCAAAGTCAATACCTATAAAATTCTGGCTGGAGCAGTGGAGACGAAATTTCTACGGGATCCCCAATTAAAATTTGTCTGTACCATTAAAAAATTTGTTGGGATTGGCTGAGGATTATAAAAAAGTTTTGTTAAATTGTAAACACGAACTAGTGTGGATGCTAACTAAGAATCTTGGTGAATCTTGAACAAACCAGAAATGAACAAACTTTTAAACTGGAAATTACGAATAAAATCTGGAAAGTTCCCCATGTAACTCTGAGCGATTTTACAAAAATTAAGATGTACGATATTATTAAAAGTTGTGTAAACCTACCAATCGCATTCCAGAGTTGGGATTTATATGTTAGCCCCAAATTGGGGTATGGGAGTCAACACAGCTGAAATGTGAAATTGTCGGCTAACCGCGAAAAACCAAGATTTCCCATAATTGGATTTACACTAAATGGAGAACTTATCGCAAATAACTTATCAAACTTGAGAGTTCACTTGAATTCTGAGTCATATCCATAATAATCGGAATGTTTATTTTAGTAAGAATTAGTATGCTCACCTATATGAAATGTATACAAGATTTCAATCTAGTTACTATAATCGTGAATCACAACCATTTTTGACCCCAAATGAATTTAAATTGAAGACCCCTATTATTGTGGTTGATCTTTCATATCAAAATGAATCAGTGAAAACTGGTCCTATTGATGTGAGAATTTCAATAGAACTAAAGACACCAAGTCATGAAAATATCCAAGCCTACCGTCTCCTCATACAAGACCGTTTAGTTGAATATAACCCACTAAACGGACTAGTACAACGAGTTGTTTAACATTAGAAAAATGTTGAAAGATACTGCTTCGATTGATGTTCAAGGTTTCTTTGATAATAGTAATAATTTTATTCTAAAGGAAATTGGAATTGTATTCGAAAAAGATCCAAACTTGAATAATAGTTATACCCGTTACTCGTATAGTAAAAGGGTATACTAGATTCGTCGGAAAGTATGTAACAGGCAGAAGGAAGCGTTTCCGACCCCATAAAGTATATATATTCTTGATGAGGAACACTAGCCGAGTCGATCTAGCCATGTCCGTCTGTCCGTCTGTCTGTCCGGATGAACGCTGAGATCTCGGAAACTATGGGAGCTAGGCTATTGAGATTTGGCGTACAGATTCCTGAGCTTCTTACGAAGCGCAAGTTTGTTTCAGTAGACTGCCACGCCCACTCTAACGCCCACAAACCGCCCAAAACTGTAACTCCTACAGTTTTGATTCTAGATAGAAAATTGTAACTGAAATGTAATGTTCTCATCAATACCTATCGATTGACCCGATTGCCACGCCCACCCTAACGCCCATAAACCGCCCACAAACTTAAAAAAATCGTAAGTATGAACGTGGATATCTCGGAAACTATCAAAGATAGAGAATTGGGATTTCAGATTTAGATTCCGTAGCCTTATACGCAGCGCAAGTTTGTCACGCGAATATGCCACGCCCACTCTAACGCCCACAAACTGCGAAAACCTGTGACGCCCCCAACTTTTATGCTAGATAAAAAATTTTAACTGAAATGTATTGGTCTCGACAATACCTATCGATTGGTCCAAAAATTTTAATCTCGCTTTGCTACTTGCATATCTCTATTTAGCTGAGTAACGGGTATCTGATAGTCGAGGTACTCGACTATAGCGTTCTTCCTTGTTTTTTAATATATGATTTTACTTTGCTAAATACAAAATCTCGAAAGACTGCAATTTGGTTAACCAATACACATCACAAATTTTTTTTGAAGGATGGAGAAAATAGTTTTCCACAAACTCGAAAGTATCTAAGGACAATTACAAGCGGAAAACAAATTATTTTTAAAGGTGTGGAAAAGAAACGATTTCTACAGACGTTTTTTGGGAGTCGTCAGCTCATTAATGTCGAGGAAATGGGCTGTCCATCATTAAACAGGTTTAAAGAAAACCGGTTTCCCTATTGTGAAACACACCTTAAGGGCGGGGTTCGTGCTCTTAACAATGAATACATTATTTTGACATTTTTTAAAAGTAGCTTCAATACAATAAAATAATTTTTATACATTATTTCAAAGTTGAGACTAGATGTGTAAAGATGTGCAAGAAAACAAAATTAACCAAAATAAGTTTCATGAGGAAATTGACCAATTTATTGAACAATTTAAAGGAGAGATAATTGGTCAGCATTCTCAATACCTTCTAAACACAAAAACTATGTTTAAAACTACGAATTAGGGTGAACACTTTACATTTTGTAATCCAGAAATGACGTCGGAAACGTGCGCCTGCTTCTTCTATGCAAATCGCCGGAATCAAAGCAGAAAATTAATTTCTATATATAACAAAAATGATCGCAATACCAAAATAAATGAATAAATGTATTATTATGGTACAAAATAAACTTCTTACATTTTATTTCGAGTTAAAATTACAGGTACGGAGAATGGAAAATATTTCCTTGACTGAGATATGTCGGCTACTTGCGAGTTGTTGCGCGGTCGTTATTTCAACCCCTTTTATGGGAACGTATTAGAGCTAGCACTCAGCCGTGAGGTCGTTGGCGTGAGGCTCATGATTTTGTCAATGGGCGTGCGCCTTCAGACTTGTGCATGTGTCCCTTTTATTCCGGTCAGGTAATAGACAGGTGCGCATGTTGGGGTAGCTCTTGCTTGAATCCCTTTTATGATATGTTTATGACCCGTTTGTAGAAAGGAGAGATCTTGAAAAAATGTACCAGTTAAACATTCTGGGGCAAAAAAAATGTCTGTTTGAAAATATTCGAAATCTGAGAATCATTAACTTGTGGGATTTATTTTATTGGGGTTCTTTTGATTTCTAAATTAGTTTTACAATCATAAGAAACGTTATTCCCCAACATGTCCCTCTAAGGCAACCAGCTTTAGATGTTTTGGGCTTGCAACCTTTCTCACGTGCACAGCAACACCTGCTGAATATTAATTGCTGATAATGAGGCAAAAAGGTCACGTGATCAGTATTGTCACATGGTGGTGTGGGGTTGGGGGGCAATTTAGTATACTCTTTATGGATATGATCGTGACATTTTTGCTTTGCATGCAGCCATTATTTCCAGGATTGTAAAAGCGCTCAAAACTGTCTCAGTTTCCACAGTCGGACACACACTATGCTGCATCCAAGGAACATTTACAACAGTTGAGTTTAATTTAGCCTACCCATGCCAAAAACTTATTGCTTTGCTAAATTTCTGACATTTCCCTGGGACTCAAATTTTCCACGATCAAGCCAGCCCTTGTTTGCCAAGGAAATTCGACAGTGTATGCCTGCTTACTAAGCGGATGCGTGATTTTGATATAAATAATGGTTTTAATTTATATGTTTGGCCAGAGAGGTAGCCATAGAGAGGTAGTTATAGGGGTTTAAACCATGAGTAGCTTCGAATGTTTAAATTCGATGTATGTTGTTACCTTTTATCCTAATTTTTTACTTTTTTGTTGCAGATGGCATTGCTTATCATAATTAAAATCAAGTTTTAAAACAAAGAAGATCTATCTTTAAAAAAATGGAAACTATAAAATCGAAGTAATCAAAACAAACAAAAAACTAGTGAAGCCACTGTGGTACTTCGAACACAGCATAGCAGCTACGAAAAATTAAAGACACCAACTGCAATAACTAAATATTAAAAATAGTAGTCAACAGACTTTTTTAAACTGTCGTACTATAATGGAGCATCTGGACCTTGCGGGATATCATGTCAACTCATCACAAAATTGGAACAGACTAGGCGCATTTGAGCAGAATGGTGAGTTTCGAAGAGTGTTAATGGTAAAGTTTTAAATTTTATGTTAGGAATAACACACAAGTACAAAATATATTTTAGAATTAAAAGACTAAACATGGCCCTAAAGGTGTACCTACAATATACATTAAGAAATGAGTGAATTGCAAATAGTTTTAATTCCAATAATTATTGGAATGGACTGATTATAATAGTCTATGTCCTCTTGATCCGGATTAATAGCCGAGACGATGCCTGTCTTCCCGTGTTAACGCTCGGATCTGGGAAACTTTAAGAGCTAGATAGTTTGGATTAGCATACAGATTCTGGGAGTACCTGCTCAAGTTTGTTATTTCTTAAGGATTTTTAAGGATTTTGTTAAAATGTACATTTTGGTTTTATCTTATTACCAATCTATATTCCGAAAATCTATGAGATCGGAGTTTTTATTAAAAAGTATTGAACAACAATAATTTTAACCGCTAGGTGAAGCTAGTCGGAGATCATGACAACAGTCGCTTTGTAACGCACATTTTTTAAGATAGATGGTTTTCACTTTTTTTTATGCTTTGCTATTTATTTTTTGAATCTCCTCCCTTTGGATACTAACAATAAGTGTATCAAATCTTATACTAATTAACCTAACTAACAGTAATATGACTGGTATTGAGGTAACAGAACAGGTCCTACTATGCTTCCTTGCGGAAGATCTCGGAAACTATAAGAGCTACAATACTGGGATTAGGCTTGAAGATTCCTTATATTCCTGCGCAGCGCAAGTTTGTTTCAGCAGAGTACCACGCCCACGCTAACGCCCACAAACCGCCCAAAACTGTGGCTCTTACAGTTTTGATGCTTGAATAAAAATTTTAACTGAAATGTATTGTTCTTATCAATACCTATCGATTGATCAAAAAAAGTTTGCCACGCCCACTTTAACGCCCACAAACCGCCCATAAACTTCAAAAACTCGTAAATATTAACGGATATCTCGAAAACTATCAAAGATAGAGACTTGGGATCTCAGATTTAGATTCAGTAGCCTTGTACGCAGCGCAAGTTTGTTACGCGAATAGGCATCGCCCACTCTAACGCCCACAAGCCGCCCAAACCTGTGGCGCCCACAATTTTCATGCTAGATAAAACATTTTAACTGAAATGTATTGTTCTCGTCAATACCTATCGATTGGTCCAAAAAAAGTGTATCTTTGGTGTTTTTCAACATATAACCTCCTAAGCTTGGAAATAACATTTTAAATTAAATTAAACATAACATGAAACAAGTTATAGCTTCAGTGTTTTTTGACATATTATCATATGCTATTGTGAAAATCATTTTTTGTCATATTTGACATATGACACATTGTTGTAACCACTTTTGTATAAAGTCGTTAGTTTGGCAGAAAAACAGCTATAAATAACTTTATTTAGTACACCCTTAACTCGTAAACTAGTAAAGGCACGTACATTGGAAAAAAAGTAACAACACTATTATCTTTATTTTTAATTTAAACATGATTTCTGATCATGCTATTGAGGTACACTAATGTGAAAAGTAACATGACTGTGGACGGCAGTCCACTTTGTGACGAAGCCCACTGCATCACTGCAGTGATGGTCTGATCATAACTAGTGGTACAACAATCAAATGATATTACAAAGGATTGCATAAACAGAGACTGTACTAACTTTAATTTGCTTGGGAAAAAGATCTGTAAAAGTGTAAAAGCAAAAATTAAGAAAATTAAAGATGTATGAAAATTAATTATGTGATTGATGCTTAAAACAAAAACTTTTGATATCAAACAAAAACACCTTTTAACGAAGTAAAAATATAGTGACGACAGCACCTTCAGCAAACTAAAGTCCTGATATCAACTTTTGTCACGAAAATGTGTTATACGATCTACTAAATAAATACAATTTCTTAATTTTTACCCCGCTAGGAGGTGTTTTTGTTTGATATGTATACTTTACGGTCTCGGAAACTGCACCTTCACTGCATCCAAACTTCTGACTGAAATCATCCTCTGCAAGGGTATAATAAGGGAAACAACTTACGATTTAATCCCACGCATTTCAGACAAAATAATAACTGTAAGGGAATGGGCAGTAATTGGATTTGTAATCAAAATAATAGTTAGCTACGGCGATCTAAAATCACCAAAAACCAGTGCTTATCAGCAAAATTTGCAACAACAAACAAGTAAACATAAGAAACACCCAAAAAAATCAATAAAAATACTACAACAAACAGTAACGTGATCGCAACAACAACAAAGAAGAGTACTCAAAAATTAAAAAAAAATAGTAGAAACATACGAACACACAACCTTAACGAGACCGAAGGAGTTATTTATTGTAATTTGCTTAGGAATGTCTCAGAATAAGAAATTCTAGCCGAACTGAAGTCCCAAAAAGTTTCTGAGGTCTACAAATGAACCAAACTAGTCGATCAAAACCGAGTCCCAACAGGACTTATAACGCTAACTTTCAAATCAACCAATTTCCCTGAAAAGGTGTTTATTGGCTATGAAATAGTATTTACACGCCCATACATACCACGCCCTATGCAATCCAAAAAATGCGTTCGCTTCAATCACCCCCAACCTGGCTGCAAGCAAGAAAATTCTACATGCAAAAACTGCTCTGAATCCACTCACACCAACGACAACAACGAATGTAAACAGCAACCAAAATGCATAAACTGCAGGGGTAACCACATATCCATGGACAGAAAACGCCAATCTTCCTCAAGGAACAGGAACTCATAGCCATCAGAATCACTGAAAAAGTAGACAACAAAACTCACACGTCACAATCCTATCCAAGAAACATCTTACTCCCAAACCCTAATAAATCCACCACCACCAGAAAACCCCACCAGACCAATTAAAACACAAATACATAAAAAAACAAAATCCATAAGAGCCCAACCTCATTAGACGATTTTCTCAAAAAGGTGGACAATAAATATGAAGAGACATATTCGATGAAGAAATGCGCTCACTTACCAATAACGACTCTCAAAAACGCTCGACATCAACAAACGACCGAGTACTCAGAAGCCAAACCAAAGAAAAATCCTTTTTATCTAAAAACCTCAAAGCAAACAAACAAAGATCAAACCTTTCCAGCACGAACGTTATAAATCAAACACAAAAACTTCAACAAACTATCTCCTTAAAAATATTACAATGGAATATTAAGGGATATTTGAACAACTACAACCTACTACTAATACTCATCAAGACACACTCTCCACATATTATCTCACTCCACGAATACACACATGTAATATTTTCACACCCTACCACACCAATAAACTACAATATACTAACAAACACTGCATCTAACAGATTTGGAGGAGTAGCCCTGCAAATCCACAAATCAATCCAATGCACTCAAAATAACATCAATGAAGATGTGGAAGCAATAGCAGCAGAAATAAAATCAAAAGAAAACCTTAAAATATACTCCAATTACATTTCACCTAACAAATCCTTATTACGCAAAAACATAAACAACGTTATTAACATTAACAACGAAACGGTCATGATAACAGGAGAGTTCAACAGCTGGTACCAAAACTGGGGATCACACACTCGAACTCAAGAGGAAAAACCATAGCTAAGTTCATTGAACAGTCACAACTTACCCTACTTAATGATACACTTTACTACACACAACACCCTTACACACATTGACCTCAGCTATTGTTCTCCCTCACTCACACCGCTCACAACCTGGAATCTAATAGATGACCTTTTCGGAAGTGACCACTTCCCAATCACCATCACCCTTTTTCCAACCGACATCATCATCAACAAAAAGACACCAATTTTTAAATTAAACGAAGAAAACTGGGACAACTTTGCAGCCCACACACATAACAACAACAACCTATACCCTCCCTCCTCCAAAATAAACAAAGAAACAGCACTAATAAACAAAATAATTATAAAAAGAGCACACCATGCAATAACACAAACACTTCCCAACTGACACTCACGCACAGTTTCTTGGTGGAACAAAAACGTAGCAAACCTACACATAAAGAAAAAACAAACATGGAAAGCACTGAAAAGAAACACAACCCAAGAAACGACCATTGCTTACAGAAAAGCAAACGCGTTTCTAAAAAGGGAATTTAAAATTATAATCAAACACACCAACAACAAAATATGGAACAACATTCGCCGATCTTGCTCTCTTAACCCAGCAAAACAAATACACTGCATAACAACCAACAATTACTACCAACGACAAAAACCAAATCGCTAACCTGCTCGCACAACACTGGTCCCATCTCTCAAAAGACACAAACTTCAGCCAGGAATTCACCATTTATCATACCTACCCATCTCACTTAACTGCTGCCTGAGTAAAACAATGGACAAAATAATAGCGAACAAACTATGGTGGTTTCTTAACAACGACAAACTTCTAGACCCACATCAGTTCGGTTTCAAAAAAGGTAAATCGACTTCGAATAATTTGCTCTATGCAGATCACATCACCAAGAAGTCTGCTCTACACAGATTACATCATCACGAAGTCGCTTAATACTAGGAAACATCTCTCTTGACTTTGCAAGAACTTTCGATCGAGTTGGTACTCACTCAATAATTGACCAACTGATAAAATGGAAATGTTTCCACAAAATAATAAACTTCACCAAAAATAGAAAGATAACAGTCCGAATAGGGACACACAGCTCAAACATACATCCTTTGGAAAACGGAATCCCACAAGGATCCCCCATATCAGTGGTCTTCAAGAAACTAGCCAACATCTTGATTTCCTTTTGCTAGTAAATCTAAATAACAAGAAGAACATTACCAACAACCTAAACCACCTTTTTGGGAAAATAGAAGACTGGGGAAGTTACTCAGTGCCATCCCTGTCACAAACTAAATAAGAAGATCTACACATATGTAGAAAACACAGTTGCAACTGTATAATTACAACACAGAATTCTAGCATAAAAACGTAGCATCGCACATAATACTCGGACTAACCAT